CTTCTGCCTGCATCTTTCAGCTGTGTCAGGCATCCGTTCACTTGTTGCAATCCCGCGCTCTTTGGGCTGTGTCAGGCGACTGTCTGCTCACCACGATCCCAAACTCTTTGGACCCTGCAGGTAAGTAACTTTTCTCCTCACCTTTTCCTCATGCAAGTAATCGGTTGTTGAAGTGAGGCTCCCAGCCGCCAAATGTCTCCAGTCTCTAAGTGCCCCAAGGGCAACATCCTCTTCACACGCCACTGCTTTTGTGCTCCAGTGTGCCGCTTGCCAGTTAACTCTTCCCCTGTGTGAAGATCCCCCCAACAATGACCAATGTTTTAATTATCCTGACGTCACTTTCTGCCCCCTCCCTGGGGCTACCCCCTCTAGTACAGGGTTGTCTTTCACCCTGTTGCAGCCATCATATAAGACCTCATTGCCAGTGCCAATGTCTTCAAAATATTACACACATGCATGAAAAACACACGTATATAGAGAAAGTTCTTGTATAGGGGACAACAAAAATTTTAAAATAACAATATGGTCAGATTAAAAAAAAAATATGCCTACTGATTTAAAAAAAAAATCCATCTCTAATTTGCTTCTTGGACTTGTAAATGTGGTGACATATAGTTCTTCATTTATCTAATAGTTTAAAAGGCAGTATCCTTCCAGCAGCTCATACAGCTATTTTATTTCCCACTAAGTTATCTATGCAAAAGAAAACAAAGGAAAACTTTTATCTCTCTGTCAAGCCGAATCCATCTCTCTTATTGCCTTTCAGAGAGAGTGAGTGAGGAAGCAGACATAAATTGGGTGGCAGGTGAACAGAGTACAATAATGCAAAAATGTGCCTTTCAATCATAGCCATTATGGTTGGCTAAAATTTACTATATTTTAAGGACTTTCAACAGGTCAACCATATACAATGTGTAACCAATTAAAGCATTTGGATATAGGCGGAAGCGACCTAATATTGTGTTTTGTTACCTAAAAATGGTTAGTAGGCAGAGGTATTCCTGATAGTATTATGAACTGCTTTGGCAATTTTCTTTCCTAGTAGGGTAAAGATGCAAGAATTAGTATAATTACTTCTTCTTATTATTATTACTTGTATTTGTATAACACTTTTCAAAAGTATTTTGAAGCCCTGGAAATGCATGGAACTACAATCACCAAGACTTAGGCATTCCATCTCCAACTTCTAGGTGTCCTGCTGCCTAGCAGGTGCCACAGTCTTGACTTAGGCTTCCTACACAATGCCCCCCACCCCTCTTTTTGACACACAGGGACTGGAGCGCAGGTCTCCTCCCTTTCCTAATGATTAGGCTATAGTGTAACACACAGCTCTTACTTTTTCCCTCCTATATTTAATCATAGTGCAAAGTGGAACTATTTCGATAAGAGAAACAGCTACTCCGGGCCTAGGGGGTAAGAGAATTTTTCACGAGATGCAGGTTCAAATCCACTCAGAGAAAAACAATGCTGATTTTGTATAGGCAAACTCCTGGGTGACTCCTGAGCTATTGGAAAATAAAAGCAGGGGGGCGGTCCCCTCCCTTTCTCTTTTGACTCAATTTTGTGCAGGATGTGCCCTATAGACATGCTTTGTGAAAGTACTGTATTTTCTTGCATACCATGTGTACTTTTTCTCTGCTGCTTCTGAATTTGGTATTTCATAGTCACTGTTGGACATTCATAGACACCAGTGTGAGGCAGAGCCGCAGCTAAAAACCTTCAACAAGAGGGAGCTTTGAACCCTCATCTATATTCTAGCAGAGTGTTTTAACCACAGGGCTGAGGGCTAGACTAAGGCAAATAGCCTACATTACATCTGTTGCTGTTATCCCAATGGGCGTGGAAGGGGTGCATAAATAAAGGGAAAGAACCCATAGAAAAACCTGAAAGACGGTGCCTGGGGTTTTGGCTTCTGCTTCTGCCCCCATTTTGTATTTCTGAATTTTTAATGTAATACTCGCAGGCTAACATGGATAGACAGCAGGGCCAAGGAGAGGAAACTGTGAACCTACCACTCAGTTAAAGGGCCTCACCCCCATACCCATGGACTAGGCAGGGCAAAGTGCTCCTTCCACACCCCCAGTTAGGGGTGGCTTGATTGGCAATTGAGAGGGGCAGGTAGGTGGAAATAAAGAGAGAGAACAGCAAAGAAGGCCTGACTCTATGCTGCAGTGACCTGGGCACTATCTAGGGGGAGGAAAGCCAATCCAGGGGACCCTACAGACCCAGACCTCCCTCCCCACCTCACCTAACTCTAGACCCTACTGGCCCCAGGCATAACTGAACTCAGCACCACTTATGGGAGCCACCCCCTGACCCAGCCTGGAGGAGTCCCAGGGAAAGAATTTTTAGGGCTGGCATGAGTAGGGGTTCCCTGGCTGGAGGTAGCGATGGGGTTACTAGAGTTACAGTGGGATAAGGCCTGGAGCAGTATTGACTCCTGGGCTACGATTAGTAAGGAACCCTGGGTTAGGGTCAGGGTTTAGATCTGCAGGGTCTAAGTTTAGGGCTGCAGTGAGAAGTGGCTGTGGGGCTAGTGTTAAGGCTGAGGTGCAGTAGGCTTTGCTAGGCATAATTTGAGGGCTGGGAGAGCGAGACTTCCTGTGTTTTCTCCTTAGCTGAGTGACTAAGACAGTTACTAGGAAGTTGGAAAACCTGGGTTTTAGGTCCCCCTCATCCAAGAGGACTTTAAACCTGGGTTTTTCTGATTTCCCAGCATGACACTAACTCCCATGCCATGTATTAGCCCAAAGGCTGATGTCTTGTGCTCCTGTTGAAACTAGCTTATGAGGCAGCTACAAGAAGGGTTATGTGGGAAATACATGGGGCCAAGAAGAGGAACAGCAGCGAGAGTGTTAAGTGGCGTGTGACCTCAGAGGCAGGGGAGCCCTTGGTTCTAGCCTGGGTCCATGTTTCCAGTGAGGCAGAGACTCCTCCTGCACTGCTGTCTGTCAGGTGTTTGTTTTTTTAAAGAAATTAAATGAATACACTACACAAAAGAGCAGTACCTCTCCTTCAAAAAAAATGTGTTGCAAAAGGGCCAAAATAATAGCTGACTTGTAGTGTGGGTGGTTAGAGCACTGTGCTGGAGGTGAGGAGAGGCGTAAAACCCCAGCCTTTGGGGAAAAGATGGAAAGTAATAATCTAAATTTGGTGGTCATGGGCTTTGATCAAACAGATTTTCATGTACCTAGAGGACAAGGAGTTTGCATCTGACTGTGCACAGCCAATGGGCAACCTAGTATGCATGGCCAGCCTACGTGCGGAGACAACTGTGTGCACACTCAGGCTTAGACTTCCTACCGGGACCTAAGTAGCATTTTTGGTGCACAGATGACCAAATCTGGCTGGCCAGGAAAGAAACAGAATTTCAGCCAAGGGGATCCACTGGCTAGGGTTAGGGCTGGGATCAGTGCGGGCTGCAAGGCAAGGATTTTGTTAACAGGAAAGTACATAAGATCCAAATGAATTATAGTTCTATCTGAAACCAACAAGGCCTAGTTAGTTAATTTCAAAGAAATTATTTGGAATTAATTCAAAAGCAAATATTTGCATTTGATTGGCATTTTTTTTAGGAAAAAGAGGAACTTTTAATCTTTTATTAAAGGATTTAAAGACGTTTTATTGATTGTTGACTTTAAGAACACTGTTCTTTATTTTCTGCATAAAAGGAGAACTGGAAAATACATTTATAAAACTTTAAAGTATTTTGCAAAAAGTAGGCATGAACATATTTACAATGCATTAAAAAACCTGGATAAAAATTAATATCTGGATTTACATTCAGTTACCATGTTAACCATATACCTTCATACAGTAAATTCTGTTGTTAAAATATTAGCAGTATTTTTACTATGTTAAATAAAACTTTGTCCAATTTATAAAGTTTACAATATTCTCATTACCACTTCATCAGTCCATTTATAAATTAATTCACAGGTTGTATAACCATTTGTCAGACTGCTAAGATCAGTGTGGTACTCACAGTGTTTTATGGAAAACAACTGCTTTACTAGTTAACCTTTAAGGTTATCATTACAGATACATTAGAAACATTATATTCATTCACAAATCAAATTCCAAACATTTTACAATATATATTACAATGTGCAGGTCTCAAAAATGGACTGAAAATGTTACAAGCCAAAAATCTTGTTTTTGCCTCATTTTTGTGTTAATATTTATTCAACTCTGCTGAGTGATCAGCTATGCCTTAAAACAACGAAGCTATTTTGAATACATACGGGCTGTGTCTACTTGAGTGGCAGACTGTGCACTTGTTATTGCACAGTCATTTAGTACTTGCACTGGTGTTACTGCACGTAGCGTCCCCACACACTTTTTTTTCAGATGCTACTGCACAGTAGCGTTGCATCATGGTTAGTGCCCACCAACACTACTGCGCAGTAGCATCTTGTGCAAACTGTCAGACCTATTCATGCAAAAGTCGTACTGAGAATTATCTCCTATTTACAGGTACATCTTGATTACACAACATTAAATGGTTGCTTCTCTTGTGAAATTCTGTGAAAATTCAGCTGGTGAGCCTTGCAGTGCAATTATGACTGATGCTTTTCTAATGCAAGAACATGTGTGAACCAACCTGAACCATTTAAAGTGGAGCCTATGGACTTAATTATACATCGTTCCTCTCCCTCTTTCGTATATGTACCTTGAAGCATCTAATGGCAGCAGATCACATTTTAGAATGGGGAACCAAACAACACAAAACTTAGCAGGGTGAGGCTAGAGAAACTCCCTGGAAAATTTTCCTCAGCACCAAACTGTCTCCTTTTCCCCAGCATGATTAAGACTAGGGACAGACATTACGCATAAACCGGTTTAAGTGATCAGAAAATGGTTTAAACCTGTAACATAACAGATGTTCAGTGTACATAAACCAGTCTGAAAATGGCTGAAATTGGTTTGAGATAAACCTGGTTGAATATAGTATCAGACTTAACTGATTTGGCTCAAACCAGCTTATGCAATGTCTGTCCCAGACCCCTTGCTGGTTTAAGACAAACCAGACACCTCCAGCATCCTGGTATGCTCTCTGGGCTGGGCAGGCTCTCTACTCCACAGCAGAGCTGGCCCCTCCCCTCTGCTCCCTGGCTGAAGCGCAGCAGAAACTTGTAGGCAATTATTCCACCTCCCCTCTGCCTAACACAGGCATCTCAGCATTAGCGACACAGGGGTTTTCAACCTTTGTAAAACAGGGTACCCCTTCTGGGGGGTACCCCTGCCAGATGTGGAGGGGAAGTGTGGGGGGAGTGCTGACAGCCAGCCGGGGAGTGGCGGGGTAGGGGCTGCTGACGGATGGCCAGACGCGAAGCCAGCAGCATGGGGCGCTTGCATGCAGCTACTGCCACCATCTATAAATTCCATGTCGCTGCTGGACACTGCTTTCCCGTGCCCAGGTATCCCCACTTTTGAAAAATCCTTCCTAACACTGCCGTAACACTAGGAGGACACAAAATGGGAACTGCCTGACTAGATAACATTCTACTAGCACCAGGAAAAAAGAACCACCCCCAGAACCAGTCTGGATTTTCCCCCTAAAGTTCCTGGAAAATGTATCAGTTTTGCTATCTTGAAGAGAGGTGACTTAATTATTGCTTTAAAAATTAAAGAACATTTTCTTTTTTTAAAATAAAGGCATGCTTTGTGTGAATTAACCAGCCATTGCAGGAAAGAGTTCAAAGCTCAAAGTGCTCAAAGGACTGTAGTTTCAAAGGATTAACACAAAAAATAATCTAATGTAATGGAAACTCTTCACACACGCATATGCAGAGAGAGTGAATGGACTCACCAAAAAAAAGGGGCAAAGACATTAGCAAAACCCAAGTCCTTATACAGCATATACTCATCAATCTTATTATGGTTAGATTAGGGACTTGAAAGCTGCTATATGATCCTCCAAACAGCACCTTCTGAGGCCAGGATTGCTGCATTGCAGCTTTTCAATGAGGCATGACAAGCCTAAATACTGAGCTGTCACCACTGCTTGCTGGTGGTTTAGTCTGTTGGGAGGGGCTGGTGTTAGAGCTAGGCAGAGAAAGCTAAGGTGAAAATTGTTTTTAATAATTGCAATGAATAAGAGAGAGAGAGCCTGGAGAGTGTATGTGTGTGGCTAGAGAAAGTCAGGGAAGAGTGTGTAAAAATGGTTAAGTAGAAAGTGAAGTCAAAACTAGTCTCTAGAGCCTAGGATGTCAGTCCTGATTAGTATCAATTTAGATGTTGAGTCAGGGCAGGATTCATTTAGGAGCTCCCTTATACCATAAAAGTAGGAGGAAACAACTATATAAAGAATCATATCTATTTTGTTACTGTGTCTTCAAAAGTTAATTTATTTTCAGGGATTTTCACAACTGATTTGGGATGCATGCAAGGAACTGCTGACTTGTTTCTGCATGCCTTTTCCTCACTGATGTTGTAAGTCTACAACCACATCTTCCATATGCCCACTGTAGTATAGCAACCAGCACAAAAGCAAGCCATCACTGACAGCATATAGTGCAAATCCTGCAGTTAAGAAATGGCAGTGTAAAAAACAGATCTCTGAGACTCTATACATTTGTTTCAAGTCCAAGCAAACGCCCCATCCGCTCCATGTTCTTGTCAATTGTGGCTTGACAAGTGATCTCCTTGGCACATTCCATTGGAAACCAACCTCGCTCACCATCTCGCAGTCGTTCACCTTCATACCAGCCTGCAAAGGGGAATAGAGGAGCAACAATAAATAATTTCCAAAATGTTTCAAATACATATGTAAGAACTGTGTATGGCACACTTTTAGAGAGAACCTTGGTGCACAGTCAGCTATCCCACCTATGCACTTCTAATGTGTAAAGGGTAAGATGCATACAAAAGGCAATTTGGATTAATTGTTACTACAGACTGGGAACAACAAACAATATAGTAGTAAAAACTATAGGATATTTGACAAAGAACAGTTTTCTTTGTATCTCAGACACTGTAAGTGATAGCAAATAACCATGTTGTAACTAAGAGCTTGATTATGCTGAATAGCCTCAAGTCCCTTGAAACCAATGGGTCAGATTTACCCAGTATCCTTCAAGTCATTTTATAGTTAACATTTATATTTTGGCAGCATCTATTGGCAACAGCCAAGCTGGACTGTTCTGTGCTCACCATTTCATAATCAATTAGAGTCCTTGCCCCATGGAATTTAGCACATTACAAATTACCCCATTATAGTGTGAAACACCCATATGTAATATTAAGACAAACTACTGCATATACTGCTTGCCATGACGAATTTTTTAAAGGCCAATTTTTAAAAGGGGCTGCCTGTTTAAGAATTTGGTTCATGCAAAAACTATTCTAATGCTTTTTGGCTCCTGCAACTATCTGCAAATCTCCAAATGAGAGATTTCAATAATGCCTTCATAAACAGAGGCTGCCCTTTAAATATTTGGTCCTAAACCTATGGACTTTCCATGTTGTTTCCCCAAAGCAGAAGCCAGGATAGATTTGCACCTTTATAGACTAACTAAATAAGAGATCAAAAAAATCAGAATGATAGAAAAATAGGGTTGGAAGGGACCTCAAGAGGTCATCAAGTCCAACCCCATGCTCCAAACAGGACAATCACCAACTGTATCATCCCAAGACTTTGTCTAGCCTGGTCTTAAAAACCTACACGGATGGAGCATCTACCTCCTCTCTGGGTAACCTGTTCCAGTATTTTACTACCCTCCTAGTGAGATATTTTCCCCCTAATATCTAACTTAAACTCCCCTTGCTGCAACTTGAGACAATTACTGCTTGTCCTGTCATGTGCCACCGCTGAGAACAGTCTAGGTTCATCCTCTTTGCAACCATTCTTCAGGTAGTTGAAGGCTGCTATTAAACCCCCTCTCAGTCTTCTCTTCTCCAGACTAAATAAGTCCATTTCCCTCAGCGTTTCCTGAGAAGTCATGTGTTCCAGCCCCCTCACCATTCTCATTGCCCTCCACTAGACTCCCTCCAATTTGTCCACATCCTTTCTGTAGTGGGGACCCCAAAACTGGTCACAGTACTCCAGATGTGGCCTCACCAGTGCCAAATAGAGGGGAAGGATCACTTCCCCTCTATTTGATCAGCTGGCAATGTTCCTAATAATACAGCCCAGTATGCTGTTAGCCTTCTTCACAACAAGGGCACACTGTTGGCTCATATTCAGCTTATTGTCCACTGTAACCACCAGGTCCTTTTCTGCAGAGCTGCTGTTTAGTCATTCAGTCCCCAGCTTCTACCAGTTCATGAGATTGTTCTGTCCTAAGTGCAGGACTTTGCACTTGTCCTTACTGAACCCATTAAGATTTCTTTGGTTGAATCCTCCAATTTTTCAAGGCCTCTCTGAATCCTAGTTCTACCCTCCACCATGTCTACTACTCCCCCCAGCTTGGTGTCATCTGCAAACTTGCTGAGGGTGCACTCCATCCCATCTTCCAGGTCATTAATGAAAATATTGAACAAACTTGACCCCAGACCTGACCCCTACGGCACTCCACTTGATACCAGCTGCCAGCTAGACATCAAGCCATTGACTAGTACCCTTTGAACTGGACAATCTAGCCAGTTTTCTATCCACTTTATATCCCATTTATCCAACCCATATCTCCTTAGCTTGCTTGCAAGAATGTTGTAGGAGAAGACCATATCAAAAACCTTGCTAAAGTAAAGGTATATCATGTCTACTGCCCTCCCCACCTCCAGAGAGCCAGTCATCTCATCAAAGAAGGTAATCAGGTTGGTTAGGTATGACTTGCCCTTGGTGAATCCATGCTGATGTATAGCAAACACTTCTGTAAACAGAGGGCTTACTTCACTGGATACTTTGAAGGGACTGAAGGAAGCAGACTACTAAATAGAAAGCAGTGATTAGAATACAAAGGGTAGGGAAGGGGACACCTAGGTTGACACCATGTTTTGTTGTGGAAAAAATGCTACAAGGACAAATTAATTCTCCCAACAAACTAATCTCCTTTGTTGACAGCATTAGCTAAGCAGAAAGATGTTCACCTACCATCATTCACTTTTTGATAAACTAGAACCACATCAGCAACCTGAAGGGACAGTTCATCTGACTGCTTTGCAGTGTAAGTTCTGATGATCTCCACCTGAGTCAATGCTGGGGAAGAAACAGAACATATTGGATTAAGATGCATATAAGAAATTATTTTCTTTATATTTAAACAACACAAGAAGGCATAGTAAATCCCTATTTTAGGCTGTAACAAAATAAAATTGTTCAGGTAATCTCAGTAGTGTAGAACATTAACCAACTGGCTTTCACTTGATAGCTACACACAAACAGGAATTTAGGTGATGTGCCTAAGCTCTGGCTTTCTCAACCTCAGCCAGGTAATAGGCTGATATAATTGACCAGATCAATCTAAATGAATGCAAGGAATATAATAATGTGTAAATGAAATCTCTCAAAGAACCTCCACAAAACCCCACCTGGTTCACTGTGTGCACAGAAGGTCACACTTTGGTTATGTTAGGAGGAAAAGAGCAATTTCAAAGGGAACACAGGTGACTGTTTTTGCAAGGAAATACATTTCTTTTTTCAGTCTACACTTGTTCAGTTTAGCCACCAAGGGGCAGTATATTTCTGTTTTCATGTCAACTGACTGAACAGTCTTGTCTCTTACTTACTTGTCCTGTCTGTGCTCTGTCTGTCGCTGTTCTGTCCAAGTGTAGTAATCCAGCGAGCTCTTTCACTCCTGTAAACAATTGAGACAAATTCAGTTTCCAAGACCGCTGACCTTAGAGTGTTAGAGGGCCTGCCCTTTTCACGACTCCGGATTTGAATCTTTCTCCTTTCTCATGGGAAGAAAACTTGTTTTCTTTTAATTTCACAAGATGGCAAGATAGATTTTCCTGGAAATACTTCAAAATTAAAATATAGCAAGATATTTTAAATGACCAACAATATTGCTTTTTTTTTGTAGAAGTGGTATTCTGATAAAGGAAGAGCAAAAAACACGCTATCCATTTGGGGACATGTTAGAACAGTGTTTTAAAAGAAGTGCTTGAAAAATTTGGTTTTGTGTGCACATTTAATTATAATATAAGTACTTCTTTAATCTCTGCAACCAGTGGGCCTTATATTATTTCTAACCTAACAAATAACTCAAAAGTAATATTTTCATTAAAAGATAAGCATTTGGAAGTATACTTCTGAACACCCTTTTCTATAAAAACTAACATGCAGGGCATCTTACAGACAAGAACATTTTTACAGAATGGGGACAATGAAAAGAAATGTTGAATTTTCCTATAGCTGCGACTTGGCTGGATGTGTATTTAGAAAGGAAAACTGATCTCTTTCAAAAACCAACAAACAAACAAACAAAAACTTTCCATATGTTCTGAAAGAAGGGACACCTTCTGTCCCTTGGCTATGCTGACTTGGGAAGTCTGTGAGAGATATCACAAATATCCAGCTTAACCCTAAACATTACCTTGCCAAACAACTGATTTCAGATAGATTATCCGGAGATTTTTTTTTTTAAGTGAGTAGAGATGGGCATAGGAAGAGTTAGATGAAATGAACAATTTCGGGAGTTGTGTAAGTGGGATAAGGATCAAGGAGGTAATGGGCAGTTTAGATAGGAAAATAAAAGATTATTATGGGTTACTCAATTCAATACCCTGAACTACAATTTAAGCTGAATGTTTCTGATCTTTGAAAAATTAAGATCTGACTTCAACTCACCATGCAGGGATGCAAGTATATAGCTCATTTTGTGAAAGAACTATTTCAATTAAACACATTATTTTTTCTGACTGTTGTTAAAGGGAGTCTAACATGTTCAGATGGTTCAGGTAGCAGAAAAATGGATTATTAAGATACATTTTTAAATCTGAATTCCCACGTGCTTTTAAAAGCCAGTTACTGAACTCTTTTAGATACACATCCCGTGTTTCAGGTGAATAAATTATACACACAAATTATATAATATGTTCAGAGGTATTTATTAACTAACATAACATTTCAGTATTTCAAAACTGGTGTCAGCTGGAATATGACATCAAGGGAATGCATGTGTTAGAACAGTGTTTTAAAAGAAATGGTTGAAGTATGGAAGTATTAGAACAGTTTTAAAGGATCACCAGACAAAAGAAAGTCATCGTGGAATCTTATTTCGCTCCCCACTCTGCCTCTTGAAATGCTGCTACTGAGAACAACTTTCTGCACTTTGACCGTGTCAGGTTACACTTGAATCTCTGCTCTAACTTCCCTTTGCCATGCACATCGATTTTAAGCTCATAACTTTTCCTGTCATGTCTATCAGAATTTTTCATTTGAGCACTCCTTTTGGTCATCTACTAAACCACCTCCTATGCTTAAAATCCACTCCCTGGGCATGCATACATGCATTTATGCCAGCTTAAATTTGCTGTGCAGTAAATTACAGTTTATCCACTGTATTTAATATCTTTGCTGCCTTTAAAGCAGCTGCCCTCTATTTAATTATATCTTCAGGTAGGTTGACCAAAATTCAACACTGTGCTCCAGAGAAGTGTAACCAATACTTTAAACAGTGATAGCATAATATAGTTAGACTTCACTGAATACACTTTGTGGATTCAAGCCATCAATCCTGTTAGCAGAGTACATTTGAAAGGTGCCAGGATAAATGTGTTCTAAGGAAGAGTTTGTATATAGGGGGTACATCTACATATGCACATTTACACTTGTACTGTGCAGTAAATATGGTGACTTATGCCAACTTGAGCATAAATTTGATACCTACATCATACAGGTATCAAATTTACATCCAGTTAGTGACTGTGCAGAAATGCACATGTAGACACCTTACTGCAGTAACACTGTGTGTGTGGACTGACTTGGGGCTAAGGTGTCACAGGACCGCACCTCCTATGTACAAACTCCTATTTAGAACACATTATCCTATGACACCTTTAGTCCCCAGTCAGTCCACACACACAATGTTACTGCGCAGTAGCTAATTGGATGTAAATTTGGTATCTGCATGATACAGGTATCAAATTTACATTCAGTCAGCATAATTTACACTCAAAAGATTTCTATTTTTTGTCAAAATTACAAACACTTGAATATTGAAAAAAATCATATTAGAAATCCCAGTGTGATACATTGTGGGAGTTTTAATTTGTATCCATTGTGTCCCCACTTTGGTATAGTCTCTCCAAGTTACTATATCACCTATAATGTACCACAGTGGCTCAGAAAAAAAAAGAAGGGAGATAGCAAAGGCAATGTAGTGTGGCCACCAAGTCTGGAAAGGTATGAGGCATTTTGAACAAATGAGGTAGCATTTCCAAAGCAAAGGTTGTGAGTTCTGATATTTCTTTAAAAGGTAGAAATCTTCCCATATATATGAGAATATTCCCCAACATCCCCAATTTTCCAGTCAGCCCTAGTTGTTGGTTTTGTATTTAGAAGTACTCAGAAATGCCCTTAATGAAGGGTGTGGAATGGACATTTATGCACTTTCCCTAGAAGGGTTATGCATTATTTTGCATGAGTCATTTTTATTTTCCCAGGAACAAAAATATTGTAAAAATATATTTTAGGAGTTAAAAAATATTAATATGCACACAGACTCCTCTTCCCTTCTATCAGATATTTCACACTCATGAATGCCACACAGTTTGCTTACCGTCCTACATAAATAAAAAAAAAATCACTTCTGGCTGAAAAAAAAATCTAAGAATAATCTACTAGTTATATGAAGATTGGCATGCTGTCCAGATATAATAAGCATTTTAATTCCATAATTGAAATTCTGCAATCTCGCCCTAATTCTTTGTCATCTATATCTGTGCTAAGTAACTGGAAAACTCTACTATTTTTATTTGGTAACACTTTACACGTATTTTGAAAGGTTTTAAACAACAACACAAGGATCAACCCAGTGATAAAACAAATCAGATCCTTAGGGATGGGGCAGCCTTCAAGCTTACTTGACAGCTCCCTGCTGGGCAGGAAATCAAGGGGACAGCTGTTCTCCCTCCCCTGCCTTTCCCCTTGGAGCAGGAAGTGGGGAGGTAGACAAGAGCACTGTGGGATAGTGGGGAGTATAAGACCTAGCCATACATTAAATTCATCTTGACAAGACAACGGAGCTGATGTTTGAAACAGTAACTTCTTTCCTGTTAATCTGCCATTTTGGTGGTGGATCCATCCTTTTTATGTTGCAACCAACTTGAACACATGGGCCATCGCATTTTGTCATGCTAATCTTGCATATAAATCAGGACAAGTTTAACATCTAACAGGATCAAATCATGCTATTTACATGGTGGTATTTTCCATATTTTCCTTTTATTTGCACTGTTGTCCTGTAAACTTTTCTAAAAGGAAACCAATGATCTTCACGGCAGAAGCCATTTTTCTTTGAAGTGAGTCAGAGTGAGGGGAAGAAGTTGACTATTCTAATTTAAAAGGATAGACAAGAAAATGTCCTTCTAAACTATGTCTAATGGTACAGACAGAAAAGAAAGATGATTCTGAAGAACTTGCACAAGCTGAGGTACATTCTCCTTTGGAGCTTTCAAGTAAGGTGTCAAGCACCAGACTGGTTGTGTGTCAGGTGAGCTGCCAGTGTCAGATATGGATTTTCTTATGCTAAGTGACAATTTAATTTGAATCAATGCATTCAGTGGCAGGAGTATTATATCCATCCCAGGATGAATGTATAAGAAGCATACATGTAAAAGGCACATCCTGATTTTATGACAAATGGTTCTTTTTAAATAACAGAAGTAGTGGTATTAGCAGTAGTAATTGGCAAGCTTTAGGCATATAGTCTCATGGTGATGTTTTCCCTTCTTTCCACTTGATTCCCCTCACACTAGGCTGAAGAAGATCTAATTTTCCCCTCACAGACCAAATGCCAAGATTGATCCATGAAGAACAATCTACAATTACACCAACTAACACTCAGCAACCAAATTGCCAGAAATAATCAAACAGTAACTGGGAAACTGATCCCTCAAACTAACAGGAATATCTTATATTTATAATGCAGAACTCTTTGCATGTATAAACACCTTTGACTCATTCAGTTTGACCTGCCTAGTTAGGTTTTTATTCTTCTGTGTTTTCCCCATTTTAGCATCAGTCTTAAGGGCACAGTGGCAACTTTCAAACCCAGTAATTATTTTCTAGATTTTTCCTCCTAAATAGGCTTTGCTGGATTGCTATTTTTATTAATGGTGGTAGAGAATATAACCAGTTGCTAATAGTCACAACAATAAATTAATAAATTAAAATATTTTATTAAAAACTAAACATCTACAAATGCACTACAGTGTGGCCGCAACCTATGCCAACTCAGAACACATTTGATTCATTTTACAATGATGCTTTTAAAAGGAAAAATAATGATCTATAGTTTCTTTCAGAGTTGTTCTCAACTTCGAAAGCAAGTCTAAAATGGCAAACTTTCCAGATTAGGATATGTCAAGAGCACTGTGCAGTTAATGTTTTCATGTGTTCCACCCGCCTCTGGTTTCCAATAAGACAGATAAAATCTGTTACTTCTGCGGAGGGCTCCTTGGTTGCTAACGACATCCCAAGGAAATGATGCCCTCTCTCAGAGGTTTCCATGAGAAAGAACAAGACACTTCTTGTTGCTTTAGTCAAAAGCAGAATGTTCCTTGAAACTGCCTCAACAGAACAAGGACCACCTCTATCCTTACCCAGATTCATAGCTTTGCCCAAGGCTATGCAGGATTCTCTGGCACTCTTTCTGCACTGTATCCCACTGCTGCATCACACAAACATCATTGTAAATAATTTGATACAAATCCTAGTTTCAGGACAATAAACTTTATAATCTAGCAGAGCTTTTCCTTATTCTGTTACTACTATTATTACAGCTTAAAGTACATCTGTACTTTACTGGAGCTATTTCCACCTGAGTGGAATCTGTGCCTGGACATAATTTAATAAAATGCTAAAATACTAAAACATAAAAAGGAAAAATAACAATTAAAACGTATACTACACACCAATGAGGAAAAGGCAGCACAAAAGGAATACTTTCTTAGGCCTCTCAGAGAACTGGCTAGTGTGTGCCTGCATGATCAGGAAATACATTTTGAATAGGGTTTCATAACTGCTTTATAAAACATTCATAAAAACAGTATTTCTTCTTCAGAAATCTACAGCGGTGTTCACATTTGTGCACACAATTACTGAACTTGCACAAGCAAATGCAATATTTTATAGCAGTGGAGGCCAACCTTTTTGGTAGGCAGGCCACAAGTTAGCCCCCCCAAGTTCCCCTAATCCCCTTCCTGTCCTATACTGTCCAGTCTCCTGCTTTGATTCCTGCTTCTCACCCTCCCTGCTGCTGGATTGCCTGACCCCTCTCTGATCTGCTGTATGCTGCACTTTCAGGTTGTCTATGCCACTTATGGCAATTGTGGCTCCAAGTTGGACACTCCTGTTTTGCAGGATCAGATGAAGATGCCTGCAATGCAACTCAGGATGATTTGAAAATACAGCTTATGACATTTAATTTGCCTTAAAAATACCTTTCATAAGAGATTTAAAACTGTTAGTTAGTTACCGTAGAGACTAGAGCTACTTCAGTGTTCTGAAGTAAATCCACAATCTAAATCAGTGTTTCTCAACCCTTGGGTTGCGACCCAAAAGTGGATCATAAGTCTATATGAAAGAGTCATGAACAAACTTTAAAAATGGATTCTCCTTTAAAGGAGAAAAATGTGGGAAACTGTGGCTTTTCCCTTTCCAGCTGTTAGAGTTCCAGCCTGTGAGGGGCTGCTTGGCACCCCCATGCCCCACACACACTGAGGGGCACTTAGCATTTTGTTCTCTCTGCCTGGCTGGGACCAGCTACACCTTCCTCCTCCTGTGCTTCCTGGACCACTTCAGTCAGGGGCCTCTTGCCCTGTTGCTCAGAAGGAGCTATAACATAAGACAACAAGCCCCCTCATCTCATCAGGACTGCCCAGGCCTGTCCTGACGTGCATGTGTTTTGGTAAAGCATGTGTTCTCATGGAAAATGGCAGTCAAAAGGACCCGGATTGTGTGACTGCAGAACTCAGTGCGGCTTCAGAAGAAAAGTGCGATGGTCAGCTGATGAGCAAGGATCGGGGGAAAAACATGGCAAAACCCAGATGTTCTCATTTTAAGGAGAAAAACCAGGATTTTCTCTTAAAGGAG